TCATTGTAAAGGTCTTTCACTTCTCTGGTTAGGAAACTGCCGAGGTATTTCATTTTTTTGGTGGCTATTGTGAATGGGATTGTGCTTTTAATTTGGATCTCTGCCTCCTTGTTGTTGGTGTATAGGAATGCAACTGTCTTTTGCATATTTATTTTGTTCCCCGAGACTTTGCCAAAGTCATTCATCAGTCCAAGCAGGTTTTTGACAGATTCTCTTGGATTTTCAATATATAGGATCATATCATCAGCAAAGAGGGATAACTTGACTTCCTCTTTTCCTATTTGGATACCCCTGATTTCCTTTCTTGTCTCATTGTCCTAGCTAGGAATTCCAACATAATGTTGAACAAGAATGGTGAAAGTGGACGATCTTGTCTTGTTCTAGTTTTCAGGAGAAATGTTTCCAATTTCTATCCATTTAGCAATATGTTAACTGTGGGTTTATCGTAGATGGCACTTACTATTTTGAGGTATGTTCCTTCTATACCTAGGTGCTTGAGGGTTTTTATCAAGAAGGGATGCTAGATTTTATCAAAATCTTTTTCTGCATCTAGTGATGTAATCATGTGGTTCTTGTTTTTACATCTGTTGATTATTTAACTACATTTATGGTCTTGCGAATGTTGAACCAGCCTTGCATCCTGGGGATGAAGCCTACTTGGTCATGGTGGATGATTTTTTAGATGTGTTTTTATATCCGATTTGCTAGACTCTTGTTGAGGATTTTTGCATGTATGTTCATAAGGGATATTGGCCTGTTTTTTTTTTTTTTTGTTGAATCTTTACCCTGTTTGAGTATCAGTGTGATGTTAGCTTCGTAAAATGATTTGGGGAGAATTCCATCCTTCTCAATTGCCTGGAATACTTTCAATAGGATTGGTATCTGCTCCTCCTTGTTCGTTTTGTAGAATTCTGCTGGAAAGTCATCCAGTCCAGGCCTTTTTTTGGTAGGTAGTTTTCGTATGACAGAGTCAGTTTCCTGGGTTGTTATTCATCTATTTAGCGTCTCAGTGTCTTCTTGTTTCAACCTGGGGAGGTTGTGTGATTTCAGAAAGTTCTCCATTTCATTTAGGTTATGAAGTTTGTTTCCATATAGGTGTACATAGTGATCTCTGGTAATCTTCTGTATTTCTTTGGGGTTAGTTGTGATCTGATCTTTTGTATTTCTGATTGTGTTTATTTGGGCTTTTTCTCTCATTTTCTTGGTCATTCTGGTTAGGGGTCCATCAATCTTGTTAATTCTTTAAAAGAATCAGCTTTTTTATTGATGTTTTCTATGATATTTTTGTCCTTTATGTTCCATATTTGGGCTCTTAGTTTGGTGATTTGGATTCTTCTGCTAAAGTTGGGGTTTTGGTGGTATTCTCTTTCCAGTTCCCTTAGGTGATTTGTTAGGCTCTCCACTTGTGATCTTTCTGTTTTCTTGATGTGTGCTCATATAGATATAAATTCCTCTCTTAGAACTGATTTCATGGCATCCCAGAGGTTTAGGTAAGATGTTTCTTCATTTTCATTTGTTTTCAGGAATCTTTTAATTTCTGCCTTGATTTCAGTGTTGACCCAGTAGTTGTTCAGCATCATGCTATTTAGTGTCCATGTCTTTGTGGGCTTTGGAGAAAATTTGTTTGTGTTGATATTTATTTTTATTCCACTGGTCTGAGAATGTGCATGGCAAGATTTCAACCTTATGGAATTTGTTTATGCTTGATTTATGACCAAGGATGTGATCGACCTTGTATTATGCTCCATGTCGTGATGAGTAGAATGTACATTCTGTGGTTGTTGGGTGGAATAATCTGTAGGTATCTATTAAGTCCATTTGGTCGAGTATCCAGTTTAGATCTTGGATCTTCTTGTTGATTTGTTTTCCTCTATGATCTATCTAGGGCTGTTAATGGGGTATTCACGTCCTCTGCTATACTAGTGTTAGAGTCAATAGCTTTTTTTAGTTTATTTAGCAGCTGCTTTATAAATGCTGGTGCTCATATGTTGGGTGCATATATGTTTAGGATGGATATTTCTTGTTGATTGGATTGGATCTTTT